TGGTACGGGCGTGACACCGAGGGTTGCGATCCCGTTACCGGTCAGTAAAAAAGACAAAAAGGAAAAAAAAATTTACTTAATATGCCATGTCTTAAGTGTACTGAAAATAATTTTTGTAACTTCATTTAAATGTAAAAGCCCAATAGATGTATTTTTTTAAAAGTAAAAGGCCAATAAAGTTTAGAAAAAGCTTTGAAAAAGCTTCAAAAAAGGACTTTTTCAATTATAATGAAGACTAAATTATTTATTCATATTAACATGTTTTTTAAGTAATCTCTATTAGTTTTTATATGTAAGGGATTATTTACTAAATGTTTTCAGTATTTCCTGTGCCTAAAGACACTGTTATCCAACAGATAGAATTTCCATTTGCAAGGGTTGGAATATTGTTCATATTATCACATCATTCATATGTCCCTTCTCTTCCTTCCTACGCACAGTGTTGTTTTGAATTTTAAACAACTTATTTTTCTTCATCTTTAGAGAGTGAAACTTGTCTTGGCATGGAACCAAGTAAAGAAAGCCAACTTAAAGAAGCTCCCTGGGAGAGCGGTCGCTGCTGTCATCAGACAGACGAGCAGGCAGATTCCCCGAGCCTTCCGGCAACTGCAGGGCAAGACCACACGGAGGAGCCGCTCTGCAGTCCTGAAGCCACACTGGAGCTCCACGCCCAGTCCTCGGAGACGGCAGGGAGCAGGTCTGGGCCAGACTCTTCCGAGAATGCTTGTGAGCTGCAGCTGGCTCGGGGGGCTGGCCAAGATGTGGCCAAGCTAGAGGGCATTGCTGAAGACCCTAGGGTGTTACCAACGGAAGAGCCACTGATTTTACCAGGCTGTGACTATACACCTGTGTTGATTTCTGAGGGTAAATATTCACAGACTCAAAGAAAAGAACTCCAGCTGCCGCTTCAGGATGCTCCTGAGGCGTTGCCCACAGACCTACTTGAGAAGAATGAATTAAATGAGCTGCAGCAACCTGAGCTCCCACACTGTGACGGAAAATCACCACAGGGTCAGACTGACTCACAGGGCTCTGACGATGTACTTTGTGAGAAGAATAATGTATCTGACTTAAGAACACCGTTTCCAGAGGTGTATATGGCCCCAGAGGAAAAAGGAGATAAGGACGACCAAATCAGTAAAGAAACAGAAGACTATTTGAACAGCCTTTTAGAAGGATGCTTCAAAGATACTGAAGATTCCCTTTCATATGAAGATAACCAGGAAGACGACTCTGAGCTCCTTCAAGACCTTTCTCCTGAAGAAGCGTCCTACAGTCTACAGGAGAATCTCCCCTCTGATGACAGCTGTCTTTCTCTTGATGATCTTGCCAAAAGGATAGAGATTGCAGAGGTAAATTAAAGATAAAGTACAGTTAAAAGTAAAATGAAAATCTTAAACTAATACATATTATATACAAAATAGAGCCTTGTTTTTGTAAGTTTTTCCTCGTCTCAAACCTGAGGGAAAATTTTAGTTAACATAAACTTTTAATCATTAGTAGGTTCATTTGTTTATATGTGTTGGATAAAATGACTTTTAAGCATTGTAATGTTTACACTTCAAGAAATTATAGTGCATGCCTCCAGGTATTATAATCATTAATATGAACACCATTTTTAAATAGTCCATAAGCTTTTTATTTGGCAGTCCCAGGAATTATGATCAAGACAAGATTAGTCACATTCTAATAAGGAAATCTCATTTTCCTTCTCATATATCTAGAAGATAAAATATAATATATACTCAATGTTTCTTTCTCTTGTTAATATATTTTTAAAAGAAATTTGTCTTTTCTATGAAGTTAATACATAATATATATCTTGAAAACAGACCTAACAGAATGGAGGAAACATTTTAAAATATAATAAGGCTAGGAGGGTAGTGGATGAATTTTTTAAATATTAAGTTGTTTTTCTTTTAAAAAAAAAAAAGTCAAGGAAAGATGACTATTCTCATTTGTTTGATAATATTGGCTAGGAGGGTAGTGGATGAATTTTTTAAATATTAAGTTGTTTTTCTTTTAAAAAAAAAAAGTCAAGGAAAGATGACTATTCTCATTTGTTTGATAATATTTTTTTTTTAAGTTCTTAAAAAGAAAAGATAAAAATCATCCCAAAACTACAGTCCCCAGGGCAGCCTGACGTGGTAGAGAGCTGAACCAGGTCACCTTAGTGCCAGTGCTGATCCCTCCAGTTAGTTATCAGCCTCGCGGAATTACTTTTTACCTCTCTATGCCTGTTTCCTTCTCTGAAAATTGGGGTACTAGCTGCTTTTCTTTTTCTTCACTTTTTTTTTTTCCAACTTAGCTTTTAAGTCCCATTTATGATACTCACTCTATTCTAACTCAGCATTATCATTGAAAAAAAAAAAAGACACTTCATGGCAAAATAGGAAAGTAACAGAGCTAAAGTAGAAAACAAAATATATGTGAAAACAGAACCCTGGGAGAAGCTTTCTGAGGCTTTTATAACTGATATATTGCTAGCTTTCTCTGTTGCCATTTATAGACAATTCTCCATAAACTATGATTTTTCTTCTTAAATTTTTCTGCACAAAATTAGATAGAATAGTAAAGCACTTGGCCCAGCATTCATGATGTTGTTTATTTTAACCAGACCACTGATTGCCCTTTATAGTTAATTCTCCACAAACTATGATTTTTCTTCTTAATTTTTTCTTCACAGAAGTATTTAACATTCCTTAATGGGTACAGAGTTTCTGCTTGGGGTGATGAAATATTTTTGGAAATAGATAGCGATGATGATTGCACCACACTTTCAATGTAATTAATGCCACTAAATGTACACTTAAAAAATGGTTATAATGGCAGTTTTGCGTTACATATATTTTGCAACAATTAAGAAAAAGAATAAAAAAGTAACTAAATCGAGCTAATAGTAATGCATTTGACCCATTTTCATTCTCTTATGTGTTTTAACCAGATCTCTGTTATCAAAACAGAGGTCACACCCATATTCAAATTCAGCCGTAATATCAAAAGGCTACCATTATCTGGCTGCTTCTTTCCACACCGGTAATCAAGTTGACCTTATGAGGAAAAGCCGTATGGTCTAATTTTACCTTTTTAGGTATAAATTGTAAAGGATCAGAATGCTCCTTTTGGGTCTCACTACCTTATGGAACATTTTAAACTGGGGGATTAACTGTTGAATTAATGTGATGTATTACAACTGAATGGAATATCCCTCCTCAAACTCATAGCACAGTGTCAATTTTCCTACTAGATATCAGCTAGCAGTGGAAATTATATGTATTTGATGTTTAAATTTGTCTTTTCTATGATGATCTCCTTCCTAAAATTCTATTGGTCTATTAAGTTAAGCTGTTTTAAGAACCCCAAAAGCTACATATATATGATTAACAAAATTAATTTATCTTTCTATGGTAGTGCTAAACAGACTGTTAAACATTTATTTACTTTCTGAATACTTATTTTCTTCTCTCATCTGAGAAGTACAAGGGTACTTTAAAAAGTTCGTAGAAAATTGAATTAAAAGATAATCTGAATCCTTTTGTGAACTTTTTGAAGACCCCTCTTATACTTTAACTAATAAAGTTTGCCTAACTCTGTCAGGAAAAGAGTTTTTATAGTTTTAGAACTAAAAATCACTAATGCTTAGTATTTTCTTAATACCTTAAGAATGAGGCTAAGTAAAATATCCAGGTAATAATGGGTTTGCATATAAGTGCGAACTTTTAATTTTTTAAAATTAGTTTCTAAAAAAAATTTTTTTAATGTAAGTGCAAACATATAACTTTCTAATCCAGTCACTTTTTGTTTCATGCTTTCAGTAAAAGTTTACTAAGAGTCTTTCCTGTGTCAGGTGCTGACAATGCAATGAGGAATCAGGTGAAATTCTTGGTGTTTGGGGGGACCTTTGCTGTCACACTTGGCTAATTTCACTGGCATTGTTTTTGTAGTATTTTTTATGCTTCCCTCCTTTTGTGAACAGAAGATGCAGAACATAATTTCTTAATAACTAAGTCATGCTTATGAATAGTATTTTTCACGTCCTCAGCAACCACCGAGGCATGTAAGCCCGCTCACCTCCCCATTGCTGGGCTGTCCCTGTTAGTCGTTCTCCATCCTCTTTCCCAAATCCCCTTATCATTTCTCCCCTGTCAGTGACTGCCCCTCACAGGTTCCCTTACTGCTTGTAACTCTTTCTACCACTTGTATTTGTGGTAGAACGTACTGGTATGTTCTCTCTTTGCCAGCTCCCCTTTTTTCTGGTCTCTCTGCTTTGATTTTCTTGCCACTTCTGCATTGCTCAGCGCTGGCTCTAATGGAACTTGGTTTTGATACGCTGCCAGCCCGGTCAGAAGCACTTGTTTTGTTGTGTTGTTTAAAACAAATAGATTCATCACATGAAATGAAATAATTTACATGAAACCTCAAAGAGAACTAAAAATATTTATACTATTTTAGTTCATTAATGTAAAGACATGTATAAATAAAACTTTTCTTGGTTTAGGAAGCTTTTTCAAACCCAGGAATCATTTTGCTAAGTAGAGTGATAACTTAATATCTGAAGCATTGCTGTTCTTTCTTCTGTAAGAAAAACAGCGTGGTGCATTATCGTCAAAAGTAGTCTCCACCATTCTGAAAGGATATCAAAAACATTTTCATTTCATAGGTTTTTAAGGAAAAAATATCACTTGTGCAGTGTCAGCAAGTTAGAAAGTTTCATTCCTTTATTCCCTTATTCAGTAATTTTATGTGAGTGACTTCTGTGTGAGTGCCACGACCTTACAGATGCTGTGTTTAAAAATACAGATAAGGACACTGCACAGATAAAGCCTGCCATCTAGCAGTTGTCTGACTCCAAGTATGTTCTCCTTTTGCCAGATTTGAGTATTCCAGTTTTGGACAAAAGATGAAATTTTATTGCAATGCCCATAATATACTGACATAATTATTTTAATGTCAGAACCCAAACCTCCTTTGCCCAAGAACCTGTTAAGGAAAATAAATCACTGATTTGCTTGGTTCTGGAACCTGGAAGAGTTGCATTATCTTCTCTTTCAACTCTTCAGCTGTTCCATCCTGTAGCCTAAGACTCAAAGGGAGCTCCTAGCATCAAAACTCAAGAAAAGAAATGTGCTATACAAATTCAAAGTGGCATGATGACCCAACCCCATGCCGTTAATAAAAGCCCACTCAGCTTGTAGTAGACTGTTACATGTGTGGGGGTGAGGGAGTTGTTTTGTTTTCCAAATAAGTGACACAAATTGAATATTGGGTAAATTTTACAAAAATTAGTCTATCTTTAAACATTGAAAATAATCATACTATATTATTCAGAGAAACCTATTTGAGATTTTAGCAACGTGATGTGCTGTATGGAGAGAAACCATTTTTCTTTTAACATATACATGTACAATCTACTTGTAGAAATATCATGTTTAAGGGCCGGCCTGGTGGCGCACTGCTACAGTGCGGCGCTCCCGCCGAGGGTTCGGATCCCATATACAGACCGGTTCCCGCTCACTGGCTGAGCGAGGTGCGGGCGCGGCACCGAGGGTTGCGATCCCGTTGCCGGTCCCGGTCTGGGCGCGACACTGAGGGTTGCGATCCGTTGCCGGACACGAAAAAAGACAAAGGGGAAAAAAAAAAAAAAAAGAAATATCATGTTTAAAAAACTATTAAGTGCTTCAGATTCAAGTGGTTTTGTTTTTAGGAATAATTGCATTATTTCTAAAAGCTGAGGAAGAAGCCACTTTGCTTTTCGTCTAAGAGAGGGCAACTCATGTTCCCCGCCTTCTGTCTAGATTAGTAATGTTTACTTAGATGTCTTAGGTCTACCTGTCTCACATAGAACAAAATTAGCAGAGGACATAACCTTACACCGTCTAATGGGGAGAAAAATGACAACTGAAAATTGCTGTTGTGTTTGTCTTCTGAGAAGCTATCTCATCGAAGTGGCTCGTGCAGTTTTCATCTCTACTGCCTATTACTTGAGGTCGTTATTTCTTGGCTCTAGATCACTTTACAGCTAGCTGCTGTGGGATTCCCTTACCAAGTTGAGATGGGAGGCAAGCACTAAGCACCAGTATTTTATGAAATCATGTAGTGAGCTGTTCTGTGGATCTCAGACAAAGGAGGGTCTTAGAAACAGCAGTCTTGGTGGTTCTGCCCAGAACGGCTCTTTTGAGGTAAACAGTGGAAGAAGTCCAGTTTTCTTGCAATAGAAGAAATGCAGTCTTCTAAATCACATAAGAGGGTTTATGGAAAATGGTTGAACCAGGATTTATGTAGGCATTTTAAGAGCCCCCAAAGGAAAACCCAGGGATTACATGTTTTTAATTTGTGCCAGATGGTTATCATCTTTGCCTTTGTTTTTATCCTGCCCCCTAAATTTTCTAATTAATGCCTCTGTTAATTGTCATGTCTCTTGCACCCAGCTCCTTTCTTTTTTTTTTTTTCCATTTTAATCACTCTTTTAATTTACATCTTTACTGCTACCTCCCAGACTTTTGCAATGGCTAATTAATAAGTTTCCCTGTCCCTCATTTCATCTTCTCCCCCACCAAATAGTCTTACGTTAGCACTGTGCAAACCTGATACCCAAAGGGGCCAATCAGTTAATAGAAGTCAATGAAATATCTTAATTGTAGACTGATAGGGAGAAGGTTTCCATGCCTTGTCTAGAAGTATTCAACTTTTTAACACATTCTGTAGATTAAACCAAACATACCTGAGGGTCTCAATCTAACCCACAAACTGTTAGTTCAAGGCGCACTGGATAGTGTGCCGCTTGGGAAGCGCGGCGGTGCTCCCGTCCGAGGGTTCGGATCCCACATACAGACCGGCTCCCGCTCACTGGCTGAGCGAGGCGCGGGAGCAACGCCGAGGCTTGCGATCCCGTTGCCGGTCCCCGGTCCGGTACGGGGGCAACACTGAGGGTTGCGATCCGTTGCCGGACACGGAAAAAAGACAAAAAAAAAAAAAAAAATACAGTTTATGAATGTTAATTCTCAAGTTAGTTGGAAACCAAGCATGTGTTCTTGTTCAAAATTTGCCAGCCTCAAGGTTCTAGATTGAGTAAAACCTGTGTTATTAAATTATTAAAAGAATATTATTTGGTATCTGTTTTCTCCTTTAATTTTCTGAGGAGGCGCTTCTCACAGCAGTGTCTCTGAATGCTTTCCTTTCCTTTCCTTAGGATTTACTGTTCCAGTAGAGTTGCAAAATGATTTTGTTTTTACAACCAGTTCATTCTGAAAATGCTATTTAAGATGGTCATTGATGTTTGAGGGGATGTGCGGGAAGAACTATTTGCAAATATAGAGGACTAGGCCAGATGGGGTTGTTGTTTTTTTTTAATTCTTCATTTATTCATAGAGTACCAACAGTAACAATTAGATTAATTATAGCTCAGACATTCTTTTTGTTCTCAGTGGAAGGACTGGGTATATTTTGTTTGGGTAGGAAAGGAATTTAGTAATTAAAGTGGGAAATATAATTTAGTTTGAAAGCTTTATTTGGGGGGATTTAAAAATTCTTAACCTTTTAACTAACATTATGGTTTTTTTAAAAAAGGCATAGAAATGGTTTTTTTAAGAGTAGTTTGGAAGAGACACGTTGCTGTGTGCTCTAAATCAACTGTCCAATCTATTTAGAAACACTTGGCAGTCTTTTGAGTGACACCCCAAACCAAGATCATGACCTAGATTTTGGCTTAATTGCCCTTCAACCATGGGATTAATGCAAACTCCACCAAAGTCATTTGTTGAGCTCTTTATGTTTGACTGCCTTGATGTGGTAAGTAGGACTTCTATGTTAGTGGTAGGTCTAAGGCTCCTGCTCAAAATCCTTACAAAAACAGAAAGGATAAGTTCTATCTGCTGCATCCACCTGTCTTCTAAGAGTTTCCCCCTGGGTCTGCATCTCCCATGCCTACGCTTGGTCCCAACATCCCTTGTTCTCCATCTATAGGGTATAGGACCAGAAGGCACTTACAAAGGAAAGAAAAATGTAAAGAAGATCCCTGAGAAAAACTGAAAGGAAATAATGGGAAAGAGCACATGGCTTCACTTCAGACAGAGGGCAGGCCCTGCTGAAACAAAAGGTTTTGAGAGAGAGGGGAAAAGAACATGTTAGCTTTTTAGCAAGAATTAAGGAATTGGGGGAGAGGTGTGTCAGAACAAACTCTTGACCCAATCCACACAAGTGTGATTTCTTGTTCCCTCTTTCAGAAAGTTGCCAAAGTTCATTGCCACCCATAGTGAATGAAGTGGGGCTGCCCAATCAGGTTTGTATCCCTTAGCAGCCTGACTTCCAGAGCCAAACGCTCCAGATTAGGCTGAGCAGCAGCTATGACAGGGACCTAACAGCTGCTGCACTAAGGACCAGCTCTAGGCCCGAGTGGCATACTCTTTGCCTTTCCAGGTGACTTCAGGAGCTACTCTCAGAGTGTCAACACCCCTTTTTTCATATTTGCAGTGTCTTTTGACTTCTGGTTTGTGTCTGTTTCTTGAATTTACAGATTCAAAATTCGTATCACAAAGATATGTGATTAACAGTAATGCTACTCTCCCTGGGAGTGCTCATCTCTAGAACTGATCTTACTAGGATTGTTTTTTCTAAGTAGTTAAAACAGCTCCTTGAAAACTCCCATACTAGGTGAATTCACCGTTGGTAAATGTACGACTTGACTTCATGGTGAAAATAGTGAATGAATCTATAAACTCCCTCTCCATGTTTTTACAGTTACTAAAAATAACAATATCAATGATACATCTTTAGTAGTAATGTATTTGTTAAAATTAATTTCCATTTTCTATCTCTTGCTCTTTAGAAACTTATTAGGACTTCTTTCCCTCTCAGTTTCAGCAAGGCGCTTGTAAAATCATTTTCTTTCTTGTATGAAGGAGCTCTTTAATGTTTCTGTTGCTTTCTGAAGAAAGATTTGAAAGACTCTTCCTTTACATATTTGTACTTACCATTTTAATGTCACTAAAGTACTTTAGTTTTCTCAGAACAAGGACATTTGAAATATGTATTTCCTATAAAAAGGACAAATTGCTGGCTTATTGATTTTTTTTTTTTTTTGAGATAATGGTTTTCTATAGACCCATGTGCAGGGAAGCCCAGTAGAAGACTATCTTGAGTTATTTGGCCCTAAAAGCCCAGAGTTATAAAAAGAACTAATAGAATCTATAATATTTATGGATAGCACATTGTCAGAGATCGCTGGCTGGACCTGGAAATCATATTAAGTATTTTATGACATTTATCAGATAAGTGACTTACAGGCAGTCGGTCCTCAGCTTACGCCAGAGTTATAAAAAGAACTAATAGAATCTATAATATTTATGGATAGCACATTGTCAGAGATTGCTGGCTGGACCTGGAAATCATATTAAGTATTTTATGACATTTATCAGATAAGTGACTTACAGGCAGTCGGTCCTCAGCTTACAGTGATCTGATACCAACATGTTGCTGACAGTCACCATATGAGGCCCACAATACCCACCTATGTCATCAGCTACAGCTTGTAACAAGCAGGCGGCTCACAAGTTAACTTCTGTGACTTAACCTACTGTCTAGAGGGCCTTTGTGAGGCCTCCTGCTTCCCAGCCTGGCTCTTCCAACTCACTTCTCTGTCTCCCTGCACCTCGGAGCCTTTAAGCTCCGAAATGGCAAGAGTTTTTTGTTTTCCAATAAGGGGTGGGGTGTAGGCAGAAGAGAGGTGGTCCAACTGAAAACTAAAAGGAAACAAAGAAGTAGGGATGGGGGTCTGAAGAGGCGTTAGCAAATTTTTTCTAGGAAGGGCTAAATTGTAAATATTTTAGACTTTATGGTCTGTTGCGACTACTCAGTTCCGCCACTGTAGCCCAAAAGCAGCCATGCCCAATATGTAGATGAATAGGCTTGGCTATGTTTGGATTAAATTTTACTTAGAAAAATAGGCAGCAGACCTTTGGCCTACCAACCATAGTTTGCCAACCTCTGCATACTATGAAGTAATATGACCCTAGTAAACTGGCTCTGAGAGAGATTCTGAAAGAGCTGTCCCTTAAATATTTTGAGAAGTAGAGCATTGTTTACTAAATATATAGATTTTCAGAGGAACTAAGGACAACTCTCATTTTGAGTTAACAGTGTGGTATCAAATATATTTTGTCTCACAAGTTCATTTCCTAAAAATTGCTGATGAATGAAAAAAGCAGCGGTGGGTTATAAGCCTCTATTATAAAGCAAAACCCAGCGCTAATGACTAAGCAGAGAGGGGCTGTAAGTGATCATTTTACAGATAACAGAGAAGTGAAGCTAAAAGGTCAGTAGTTAAGGAGGTCTCCTGATTTCCAGTTCACACTGCCTGTCCCTGGAGTCTCTTTACGGGCTACGAAAAGAAGTCTTAGTCTTAAGACACGTGTATTTGTTAGTTATATGCATAGAAGTGAAAGTTTTATTTTGTGAGATTTTGATGATTAATTATGATTTTCTTTCTGTAGGAATTGGATACAACTATAATACAAATTCAAATTATTGAGTTGAATTAGCCTTTTTACAGTTACATGTAAAATATTGTTGATATGTCCCACCTTAATATAACAGATGGTTCTTGTGATCTCTGATAGGTTGTTCCTGCCGAAGGATTGGTCTCTATATTAAAGAAGAGGACTGATGCTGTAGGAGATCATCCTGCCCAAATGCAACAGAAACCATCTAAGCGAAGAGTGAGATTCCAAGAAATAGACGATACCTTGGACCAAGGTAAACCGTTCAACACTGTGTCTAGCAGAGTTGACGTCAGTATTTGCTGAAATTATGAATTAATGTATGATACGATGTTTGCTAACAGGATCTGTAAAGGAATAGAGGAACCAAGTTGCTTTATTTTCTAAAAAAGAAACATGCAAAATCAAACAATCATCTGAAATTATTTCTAAGCATTTTGTTTGCTCAAATAAGTTGAAAAATGTAACTCCTTTCCTCCTTATCCCATAGACAGTCCTCAATGTCAAGAGCTCATTTCAGAGTCCTTTTTTTTGTTTTTTTTTTTAGTGAGCCTGCTATTTTTGTCTTCTCTTCAGTGGCCAATTAATACTCCTCCTTTATAGTGGAAAATATTTATGAATTGCAAGTATATTCTCTTCAGTGATTTCTTCACTCTATAGAAAAGAGAGTCTCTCAAGAGCAGCAATTTAACACTGTCACTATTGTTTGACTTCTTCCTGGGTCAGTACTTCAGTAGTTGCTGTAGCAAACAGTGCTGCCTTTTGTGGTTGCAAATAAGTTTATCTAAGATGTAGGTAAATATGGGTAAGAGGAAATATAGCCAAGAACCTGTCAGTATGCCTCTCCTGTTTATAAAACAACTACCTTGTTAAAATAACAGTGCAAACATTTAGGTGTGCTTTCTAAGTCTGACGTAAGTGATAGCAGTAGCAGTTTCTAAATTTTTAGGGTTGTAAAGCTGGTAGGGACCTTGGAAATAATCTGCTGGAACTCATTTTACCTCTACACCTTGCTTGTAACTATCACAATCTTCTGCAGATAAAGTGCTCAATTCTGTTTGCCTTAATTTGCACTGAATCATTGCTTACTAGGAGGAAGTCTGGATTTGGAACTCACAGTTCCTATTTCACTTAGTAGCCACCTCATCTTAGACCAAGTCACTTAGCTTATGGGAAACTGTTTCATCATCTTTAAAATAAGGAGAATAATATCTGCCTGTCTGACCCTGTGGGCGCTGAAAAACGTGTCAAATAATATGTGTGAATTCATTTTCAGAATCATAAAACTTCATGTAAATGGTCAGTGATGGTGATGACTTATTCCTGATCTCTATAGCATAGTTACACAGTGTTTTCATAAACCTCGCTTTCTGCCAAAACCATCCTAAAAGGGCCAGTTCTAATTCCTCTAAATTAATGCTATCCACTAGAAATATGAAACATATATATAATTTTAAATTGTGTAGTAGCCATGTTAAAAAATAAGTAAAAGAAACAGGTGAAGTGAATTTTAATAATATATTTTATTTAACCTAGTATACCAAAAATACTATTTCAGCATGTGATCAGAATGAAAAAATTGCTAATATTTTTACATCCTTTTTTCCACACAAGTCTGGTGTGTATTTTACCCTTGTGTCACCTCTGAATTTGGAACAGCTGCATGTCAAGTGCTCAGCAGCTACATGTGGCTCGTGGCTCGTGGCTTCCACGTTGGCCAGCGCAGCTCTAAACAGATGTAGATGTTTTATCAACACATGTAGATAAAACAAAACAAAATGTTTGTTTTCAAACCTTTAAGCTATATTTAAGTGTTTGTATATGAATACATGATAACGAAGAACAAGATGGAAAGATACATAAATTAGGTTGTTAACATAGACAAGGAGGTGGGAGGGAATCGTGTTAAAAAGAAGGTAAAAAGACTGAACTGACCAAAACCAGAAAACAGAGAATGAATGATTTGATCTTATTTCTTCATCTGTATAAAAAATATATTTTCACACATAGGTACAGACTATTTCAAAACGTAAATCACAGAACAATACAATTACATAATCCTATTTGTATAAAAGTCCTAAAATCATATATGTTTGATCTGGAAAGATACAAACCAAATTGAATAGCGTTTACCTCTGGGGTGGGAGGGGAATATGATTGGGAAGGAGAAAAAGAACGGTCCCTTAAATTCTTAGGTATTTTTGTGTTTGAATTTTTTCAGGGAGAATATATTCATGCATGAATGTAAAATCTTGCAGATAAAGTTCACTGGGTATATATTAGGTTTTACAAAATTTGTTTCTTATCATAGAAGTAATATATGCTGCTCATGAAAAAATTCAAACAGTAATGAAGTAAGATGTATAAGTCCCTCAGCCCTCCTAATCCCTTAATTTTAAGTATTGATTGAAGTTTTTTATCATTCTTTCAAGATGCATTCTGTATATGAGCATGTGTGCATATGTGTGTGTGCACACTAACACATATCCATGTGTCAAAAATTCAAACAGTAATGAAGTAAGATGTATAAGTCCCTCAGCCCTCCTAATCCCTTAATTCTAAGTATTGATTGAAGTTTTTTATCATTCTTTCAAGATGCATTCTGTCTATATGAGCATGTGTGCATATGTGTGTGTGCACACTAACACATATCCATGTGTCTTTTTAAGCACAAATGGGTTCTTTATATACTGTTATGTAACTTCCTTTTTAATTATAAATCTTAGCCATCTTTCTATGAAAGAAATATTAAATTTACTTCTTTCTGTTAAACAATTGAGTGCATGGTATTCCATTATATAAATGTCCCATAATTACTTAACTATTCCATTGTACCTGGAATAACAAGGTTATTTCCAACTTTGTTATAACAAACTCTGCTGCAGTGAGCAAGCTTGTGTATATGATATTGTGTGTTGTGCAGATCTGTAGGCTAATTCCTGAAAGTGGATTTGCTGGGCTGAATGTCGAGACCATCTGTCCCGGTTGGCCTGAGGCAGTCCTAGTTTACACGTGTTGTCAGCATTGCATTCAGTTAACACGCTTTCACTCTCAAAAATATTCAGTATGGAGGATAAATTAAGTCTAAATTTTAGTAGGTACTGCTGAATTACCTACCAAAAAGGTTTCCATACACCTTCATTATAATCATAAAGCTTTAGTCTTTTTGTTTTTTTTGTTTGTTTGTTTGTTTGTTTGTTTCCTTTTTGTCTTTTTTCGTGACCGGCAACGGATCGCAACCCTCAGTGTCGCGCCCGTACCGGACTGGGACCGGCAACAGGATCGCAACGCTCGGTGTTGTGCCCGCACCTAGCTCAGCCAGTGAGCGGCCGGTCTGTATGTGGGATCCGAACCCTCGGCGGGAGCGCCGCTACGCTCCCAAGCGGCGCACTGTAGCAGTGCGCCACCAGGCCGGCCCAAGCTTTAGTCTTTTTGAAATATTTTTTATTTTTCTTTAATCATGAATGATCATTAAGTTTTTCAACCAAAGAATAGTTATTTTCTTCAATATAGAAAGACTGATGTGGACATTTTCATTAAAAACAAACCTGCCAGAGTTGTTAAGCAAAATAAAAAGAAATCACTGCACTGGCTAGAACCTCACTATTCCACTAAATGGTAAGAATGAAAGTGAGGAGCTGTAGATGCAGAGGACATCCCATCCAAAGACATTTTTGTTTAATATTGAATTGACTTTGCTTTAAGGTGGTCCCGTGATATGAACTCGGAAGATAGTGTAATACTGAGGTTGTGCACTCTAATATAACACTGTGAGCACATCAGAGGGACACTGCCCTGTTTTTCTTCTTTTTCATGCAAGAGATTATAGTCATTGTATAAATGAGCTAGTTTCAATTTTAGCATTCACGAGCTCCACACCTATAAATATTTGTGATAACTAATAGGTAGGTCTTTGTAGAGTCACTAAAGGGTGTGTGTTTTCTGTCAATAAGTCATGTAGCTAGACTAGCATTAGAAATGTCTAGTTATTAGAGAGGAGGGAGGGAGGTTTAGGTAATGGGCCACAATAATCAACCACATTGTATATTGACAAAATAAAATAAAATTTTTTTAAAAAGAACAGAAAAATGAAATATATTATTTAATTTTAATTAAAATAAAAATTTTAAATATTGATTAGATGAAAAAAAAAGAAATGTCTACTTATTTAGATCAGTGAGTGAGAAGACAGCAGATGCTAGGATTTCCATTTGACGACAATTTAATTTCACTCTGTTCTCATGTTTGCAGATGAAGTTGGAGGTGGCTCCTGTATTTTACTGCTCTTGCTGTGCATAGCCACGGTTTTCCTTAGTGTTGGAGGAACCGCATTATACTGCACTTTTGGTGACATGGAGTCACCTGTTTGTACAGACTTTGCAGACAACATGGACTTCTATTACACTAAGTTACTGCAGGGAATGACAGAACTTAAACACTGGATCTACCTCTCCTAGCAGCGTTCAGGAGGGACAGGCATGCTGGCAGTATGAATGAAAGATGTGAAACTTTCTAAACAGCTTTTATTCCAGGAGTTCTGTAACATTCCCCCGTCTCCCCAATGAGAAACCAAGGACATCAGAAGCAGCAACTTTATATGGCGATCCAGAGGAGCTCTGTTAGAATAATGAGGCAAATATTGATAGAAGCATTATGGATGGAAGGAATGATCTTTGGAGAGCATAGCCATCTCCTCTTCACTGCTTCCTACTGTAATGAGGTACACAGAGAAAATTAAACAGGGCAGTCTTGGAACCACACTGTTTTTAGCTACCTTGTCAAGCTAATGGTTAAAGGACACTTTTGGTATGTGTTTGTTGGTCCATAGACATTGCTTCCAGCCATCACGCAATAAGTTTGTATGCAATCAAAAAGAGTTACCTTATGGTTTCAATGTCATTTTTTAGTTAACCATGGGAGCTATGTAACTTAGGCTTTGTGCATTATTCCCGGATTCTGTTCTCCATTTGTGAAATGGATGTGTGCGTGTGTGTGCGGGTGTTTCAGGCAGTTATCATAAGCAAATACACAACTTAGAATAACAAAGATTATCTTTATTCTTTTAACTTGACTATGATGTGCAGGCACAAATCTTTGAAGGTTTAACTATGGCATAGATGAATTGTAGAAATTTGGCCCTGAAATGAGAAACTGTGACAGATCTGTGGCAATTAACTTGATTAGCCAGAAATCAATCACGGGCCTGGAGGCAACATTAAGGCACTCCCCCAAGTCACAGGCAGCAGTTTCATCATATGGATTCAGTGCTTCCTGGAATGATTAAGGCTGGTCACTACACAATTCAGCAAACAATTTTTAAGCACCTATTATGGTCTGAGAATCTAAGAACCAGAATGCAAACATAAATAAGATAGAATCCCTGCAATAGATGTTTTAATTCTGGTCTTATGTAAAATAAACCAATACTTTGGCAAGTGAAATGCAATTCAGTATTAACAGATCATGCATTCAGATGTTTGACTGTGCATTCTTATCATGGGCTTGATTTAGACCCTATCGTGGGGTCATTAAACAAAAATACAATCATACCTTAAATAAGCAAATGTCTAATTTTTGTTTAAATCTGTCAGCTAGGTGGCCTTTCTGTATCTAAGGTACAGTGGTCTAACATTTAGGAAGCCCTGCTTTGACTTTTTATACCCTAAGTAGCATTTTCAAAAAACAAACATGAATTACAGTTTAAGTGATCATTATTTCCTGTTTTTCTGTTAGGATCATTTGAAAGAATAAAGGAGAAATTACTTTCTAGTTATTACTGGCTGGTACAGTATCTCCCTTTGTGTTTTTGCTTATTTATTTAGATTGTGTGAATTTTAAAGGGCTTTTTATATAAGTTGAGAGTGTGTCTCCGAGCATGCATTCGGTTATTCCAATGCTAGATATTTAATTATGATGTACTTTGTGTTTTGATTTTCTATAATTTCAGTTCAGTGTATTTTTAGGCTTGTTTATTTTTAAATTGATGTTTCTTTTTCACTTATAATACTATTTGATTTGTCTCTATATGTCACCATAAACTGTAATATTTTCAAGGGTTATAGATCAAAGATATTTATTTAGAAGTATACAAAATACTGAAATTTAGATTCGTTATACTTAAGGCTGACTTATTAGAAGATTATTTTAATGTTCTATTATAAATTTTAAGAATTTATATTCAAATTGTATGTAAAGTATGTAAAATATTGACGGTACTATCTTAGGTGGTTCTATAAAAGCCGTTCACGAGGTCTGCTGTGAGGGGCCCCCTTGTCGTAGACAAACCTCTTCTGTGCTTTACCCTCCTCGTTTCTAGTTACAGGAATTTGATGATGCTTATTTCTGCCAATTTTATGTCAAGATAAGTTAAAATTTCCCCCCTATTCACCTCTTTTAGGTCACTCTTGGAGTCCTATATAATCTCTGGTGTTATATTTACCTATAACCCACCTGGGCCACTTCTGAAACCTAAGATTTCCTGGGACCTTCACACTGAGATGAAAAAATTTAGAGAATATTTTACTAGTGCAGGGCCCAGTTGTATCTCAGAGAAATCATGGGCATCTTCCCCACTTCCCAGGGAGGGTGAGGGGAGCTCAGGAGCATATTTAATATCTTGACTTAAAATAGGCATGAAATCTCAACTAGAAAAATTAGGTCAATTTTTAAAAATGTAATAGTCATTTATTGCATGAATTGGAGTAATTCCACCTGGTGATGAAAGGATTGTTATCTCACATAAAAAATTCATCCAGTTTTACTAAAATGCAATTTCTGTCATTTGAAACTACTGACAACTATTTGTAACTAATCTTCTTTAAGAACTGTATTTGAGGGTATCAAATCAAGCTTGTAATTTAAAATCTACACCAACAAAGTGTCTCAGAGAGTTTATTTGAGCCAATGAGTGCTGAAAAAAACTGCTTCAAAGAGAAAGTAAAGCAATTTCAGAAGTTGATCTGGCCCCACAGGTATCTAGATAGCCATCTATTTGGGGTAGTCTAGTAGGTCCCTAAGTGTAAAGACTTCTCTACCTCTAAAATCCCTCCCCATCTGCCTGACACAGTAGCTGAAATTTGCTCTAAAAATTCATTCTTTTAAATTTAAAAATCAAAGCCCTCTGGGAGATTTATTTTATCAGACTGTGAATTTATATATTAGATATGCAGAGGATTTGAGATTTCAAGGTGGGCCTTATTTTGAAAGGATACTTGTGAACTGGGTCTTGCTGCAGTGGCAGGAGGATGTGGGGTGGGAATATAGGGACAGAGAAAGGGGCAAGAGTTGAGGAGAAAAAGAGGGAAACTGGTAAGAGAGTAAAAGAATCCTTTAGCTGTTTTGAAAGGATACTTGTGAACTGGGTCTTGCTGCAGTGGCAGGAGGATGTGGGGTGGGAATGATAGGGACAGAGAAAGGGGCAAGAGTTGAGGAGAAAAAGAGGGAAACTGGTAAGAGAGTAAAAGAATCCTTTAGCTATTAACCTGTTTGCTAAAGCTGGCCCTGTGGCATTCCCTCCCAGTCCAAAGAGAGACTGAATTTTTATGTTTTCACCAACATGACCCATATAACTCTGTTAACTTCTTTTTTTTTTGTCTTTTTTTTCGTGTCCGGCAACGGACCGCAACCCTCAGTGTCGCGCCCGTACCGGACCGGGACCGGCAATGGGATCGCAACCCTTGGTGCTGCGCCCGCCCCTTGCTCAGCCAGTGAGCGGGAACCGGTCTGTATGTGGGATCCGAACCCTCGGCGGGAATGCCGCCCTGCTCTCAAGCGGCACACTGTAGCAGTGCGCCACCGGGCCGGCCCAAACTCTGTTAACTTCTTTGGGCTCAATTAATATTAATTTATTCCTGTGTACTGTTTTATGCAGTGTGTGTAGCATTTTCATATTTGTTCATTGATGCTGAAGTCAGTAAACATATATCCCTCAAGTGCAGGTTTTTTAACTCCCAAATCCATTATACACTCTGTCCTCTGTATCCATGGGTTCCTCATCAGTCAGCCAACCACAGATAGAAAATAGTTGGGGAAAAAATAACAATGCAACAATAAGAAATAATGCAATTTTTTAAAAAATACAGTATAACAACTATTTGTATAGCATTTACAGTGCATGAGGTATAAGTAACCTAGAGGTGGTTTTAAAGTATATGGGAGAATGTGCATAGGTTGTATGCAAATACTATACCACTTATATAAGGGACTTGAGCATCTGCGATTTTTGGCATCCATGGGGGTCCTGGAGCCAATCCCCATAGATACCGAGGGACAACTACTTTCTGTTCTATCATGTTGCCTCCATCCTCAAAAAGAATGAGAGTGATTCTACCATTTATGGCACAAATTCTAGTGCCATCTGCTATTTTAACAACCTCAAAGATAAACATTTTTTGAGCCTCATGTACTAACAATCTAAAAGCTACAATGAGTTAAACATTTCCTTAAGGAATTCTAGTACTATTTAAATCTCCCTGGGTTTAGGCTACTGAGAGAAAAGGTATGGTAACCTAGGGGCATCTGTTCTCCCTGGGCAAAGAAGAATTACTGCTGAATTCAACTTTCTGTCTATTACCCTGAGATCGGAGCAGAACCATGAGCAATGGTGTTTATCACTGTCTATACTCTGACAAACATTTGAATGCCTGGTACTGGGGCTCCAGAAACAAGAAATGGTACCGGCTTAAAGAATCAGCATCTGGTGAAGGAAGTGTATTTGTGAAGAGGAAATAAAGTAACTGGGAACATGTTACCCATAGGGGTGGAAAATTGCTTATTCTTTCTTTCCCAAGTTGAGTGTCATGCACTATTAGGAATAAAAGGAAAATTCTATATAGGCCACCTCCATAGCAGCTTGATAGGAATCTTGACAGGAATCTTTTCTTACAGCAAAAGGTCTAGCAATCATTATCTAGTAATTATTACTTTTCACTTCTAATTAGCACTTGTAGATTGATAGCTGGCAGGTTTTGCAGAAGTGGAAAGCTTCTCTGCAGGAGCCTTCTTTGAAACTGAAAGTCCAAATTGCCTTGAATTGAAAACCTTCTCACAAAAACTCCAGTCACAGATGGTTTTACCACTAAACTCTATCAGTCACTTAAGTAAGAAGTAATACCCATCCAACAAAATACTCTTTTAGAAAGAGGGAGAGTACACTTGCCAATTCATTTTATGAGACTGGTATTATTCTGATATCAAAACCAGACAAAGACAGTAAAAAAAGAAAACTAAGACCAATATCACTCACGAATTCTTAAAATACACAAAATTAAAAGACACAAAAATTTGTGTTCTTAAAAGACACAAAAATTCTTAAAATAGTAAGTCAAATCTAAAAATATATAAAATGGATAATATACTGTCATGACCAAATGAGATTTATCTCAGGAATACACTATTGTTTTAATACTAAAAAATCACTCAATGCAAATCACCATTTTTAATGAACTAAACAAGAAAAAACATATGATCATGTCAATAAATGCATTAAATTTACACACCACTCATGTTAAAAAACTCAGCAAACTGGAACTAGAAGTGAACTTACTCAACTTGATAAAGGGCATTCATGAAAAGCACACAACAAACATTAAATACTTAGTGGAGAAAGACCAAATGGTTTTCTTCCTAAGATCAGGAACAAGGCAAGGACCATATCTATTTAATATTGTACTGGAGGTCCTATAGCAAGAAAAAGAAAAGGCATCCCAATTAGAAAGGAAGAAATAAAACTTTTTGCAAATGACATGATTGTTTATAAAGAGAATCCGAAGGAATCTACAAAATGCTACTAGAATAAGTGAGTTTAGCAAGGTTGCAGGATGCAAGGTCAATACACAAAAAAGTCAATAGTATTTCTGCATACTAACAATGGGCTATTGGAAAATGAAATTAAAAATTCATGAATAAGTAAATAATTTACACTTAATAGCATAAAAACAAAATACAAGCAAATTTAACAAAATATGTGCAAAACCTGTACACTAAAATCTATAAAACATTGCTGAAGGAGTACCTAAATAAATGGAGAGAAATATTGTGTTCATGGACTGGAAGACTCCATATTGTTAAGATGTAAGTTCTCTCCAAATTGATCCATCGGTGTGACACAATTCCAATAAAAATTTTCCAGCAATATTTAGAAATTGATAGGTTAAATTTTGAATTGTGTAGAGATGTAAGTGACCTAGAAGATAGCCAATGAAACTGTTAGAACAAGACTGGAGGACTATACTTTCTGATTTCAAGACTTAGTGATATAATCAAACTGTGGTATAGTGAAAGTATAGTCCAAAAATAGAGTTACCGGTATATGTTCAAATGATCTACAAAGGTGCCAATGCAGTTCAGTAAAGGAAGGGGAAGTCTTTTCAACAAATAATGCTGGAAAAACTGCATATCCAATTGGGAAAGAAAGAAACATGGACTTCTACCTCTCATAACACACAAAAATTAACTTGAAATCAGTGGCTGTAAATGTAAAAGCTGTATCGTTTAATCTTGAAGGTTAAAACACCGAAGTCTTTTCAACAAATAATGCTGGAAAAACTGCATATCCAATTGGGAAAGAAAGAAACATAGACTTCTACCTCTCATAACACACAAAAATTAACTTGAAATCTGGCTGTAAATGTAAAAGCTGTATCGTTTAATCTTGAAGGTTAAAACACCTTGAAGGAAGCGTAGGAGAAAACCTTTGTAAACTTTGGGTAAGGAAAGATTTCTTAGAACACAAACCATGAAAGAAAAAAATTGATAAACTGGATTTTAAAAATTTGTGCTTTTCAAGTGACAAGTTAGGAAGGTGAAAAGACAAGCTGAAGATTGGAAGAAAATATTCACAATAGATTTATCTGGTAATCACCTTGTACCCAGAATATTATAGAGATCTCATACAACTCAATATTATGACAAATAACCCAACTTTAAAACTTGAAACACCTCTTACAAAAGAAAACATATGAGTGGCTAATGAGCACATGAAAAGATGCTGAATATCATTAGTCATCAGGAAAATGCAAATTAGTGATACACTACTACACACCTACTTGAATGACTAAAATTAAAAAGACTGACACTACCTTCAGGAGTGCAAGGGTTGTTCAGCACAGTAAAATCAATGCAATACATCAGGAGAATGAAGAGGAAAACCCACATGATTATCTCAGTGGTTACAGAAAAGGCATTTAGAATCCTTTCATGATAAAAATTCAATAAAGTATCAGTGTGGTACTGATAACACCAATGTCAAAGGTTTGGATCCCCTTACCAGCCAGCTGCAAAAAAGAAAAGGAATACAAGGGAACTTCCTCAACATGAGAAAGGGCATTTCTGAAAAACCCACAAACCCACAGCTAACGTCATAATAGTGAAAAACTGAAAGTTTTCCTCCAATCAGGAACAAGACAAGTATGCTTACCTTCAACACTGCTATTCAATATAGTACTGGAGTTCTAACCAGAGAAATTAGACAAGAAAAACATAAAAGGCATCCAAATGGGAAAGGAAGAAGTAAAACTATTCACAGATGACATGTTCCTATCTATAGAAAGTCCACAAGAAAGCTACTAGAGCTAGTAAATGAATTCGGCAAAGTCGCAGGATACCAGATCAATACATAAAAATTAGTTGTTGCTGTTCACCATCAATTAATCCAAAAAGGAAATTAAGAAGGCCACTTCATCTAAAAGAATAAAAGAATCTAAGAGAATAAAATATCCAGGAAGAGGGCCGGCCCGGTGGCGCACTGGAGAGTGCGCCGCTTGGGAGTGCGGCGGCGCTCCCGCTGAGGGTTCGGATCCCATGTGGAGACCGGTTTTTTCAGGAATGGAAAATCAATTACCAAATTTATACAGCATTGCAAGGGGGACCCAAATAGCC